AAAACGAAATGCAAGTTGACAATTGGTAGTTTGTAGATTGTAAAAAAAAAAAAAAAAAAAAAAAACTTTTTGAGCTAAAGCTTCTAGCTGCAGTTAAACGATTTTATAAACTAACAGAAAAGAGTTGAGAAAAGTGTGGCTCAGAGGATTTTTGATGGGAATTTGCTATTTCTGTGACTTGATGCAAGGACATCCACACATGAACAACTTTAGAAGGGCCTTGTCTGCCAGAGCGGTGTTAAAAGATCCAGTAATTGTGGCTGCTCAGGGTTTTCTGGACCATTGAATGCACTGACATTATTCTTTTCTTGTCTTCACCTCTGTAGGGGCATGCTTTCATGGCCACCCACAAAGTTGGCTTAAATTTTCGGGGAAAGTTAACTTGTTGGCTCTGTCTCCGTACTGTACAGACATGCATAATGTTGACTGTTGTTTGGAATTTATTTTCATGACCACAGCGTTATTTTAGACAGGTATTCTAAATCTTCAATACATATATTTTAGAGGGAATCATCTTTATTTCTTATTTTAACGTTTAAATGTTTTGGTGTATACTTTCATTTTTTAAATGACTTGTGTAAGTTGCACAAAGCAATACAGCATAAAGGGCACATGGAGACATATAAAGTATCTCGTTTGCATAGTTTTTTCTCATCGTAACCAAGTAATTTGTCAAACCGCCAGTAGTCCACTTCAGAAATGCTCCATTTTAATGCTGTTGTCTACTGCAGTTTTACTAAATTTTCTTTCAAATGTTATTACAGATCAAAAACTTTCACAAAAATAACATTTAATTGAACTGGAAAAACTCATATGCAAAATACGTACATTTGTGTGGTTCAGCCAAAGTTCTCCACAAAATATAATAAACCTAGAATTGAAATTTGAACAACAAATGACTCCAACAAGGTTGAGTAAGTAAAGTTCACTTAATCAACCAGTTAATAGTTAACTGACTCCAGTAATATAGACTGAACTCATTCAGTTCTGCTTCGGTTCTCCATAAAATACATTCAAGTGTGACGTATGTAAACCAAACCAGTAACTTGATTATGGATTTTTTATGTTACTGTATTGTTCTGAACTTGCGTACTCCTTTTGCATTCTATACTTGGGCCCCACGAACTGCAGAGGATGTCACCGATGTTAAGTCTGTGTGCTGTTTGTCGTTTAGGTATGTTTGGATGGAGATTATGTGTTGTTATATTGTTTATAAGGTGGTGTAAATGACCAATGTGCTCATCCAAAGTTTTTCAATTTGGGCGAAAAAATAACAGATCCCTATTCATATCTTTGTAGATTTTCAACAGTCTTTCTGTGATTCTAATTACAAAAGGTCTGCTTATACCAAACCACAGACACGTGGTAAACAAGACTGTTCTTTTTTTTTATTTTGGTACGTTTTGTGCAATATTCACACATACTGAAGGAAACTGTGCTCGACTTGCCCCTGTGGCCCGTTTTTAATCAGAAAACTGCTCCAGTCGCTGAAACAGCGGGTTGTTCAAATGACCTCCAGTTCATGTTTTCATGCCTGTGTGAGCCAACCTACTGCTGGATATTGGCACTGCAATAATACAACCTTAAAGGGGTTGAGGTAGAAATTAACGTGGGCGGCTTGGTGCACAAACAAACTGTTGCACAAGCAGTGCGGTAAAAAGTAGGTAAGCACATTAATACATTCCCTCAGACTGAATCAAACCTGTGTTCTTTGTTTTCCTCATCTCCTCTGCTTTTTTTTTGCTTTTAAGTTCATAAACACATTACGTGTTTTTTAATAGTCACCTATACTATCTTCAGTTTTTCGAATCCCAAGCAATCACAATAAAATATATGTGTCTGCAGCCTTTTTTGTTTTTTTTATTTATGCTCAAGAGTTTCTATCAATGTCTTATTTGCATTTCTGTGTCCCACAGGTAAAAATATGATGCGACCCAGAGGCCCGTTTCTTTTTGCCACTCAACCAAATGGGAAGGCAAAGAGAGCATTGAGTTCAAGTTAACCAGGTGTATCTTGCTCTGCATAAGTCAGGACAGGAGTCTAAGAAACTAGCTGCAATCTAAATTTGCGTCCGTCAACCATCAAGACAATAATAAAATCAAAGAAAACAGACACAAGTTTATTTTCCCATCACACGCAATGAGATAAGAGGATAAGAATTTTAAATAAAATAGTCACTGTTATCTCATTTTTGGCTTTCAGCTACAAACTGTTTGGGTATTTTGACCTGAAACAAAAAGAATGTTAAAAAAAATAAATAAATGTTATTAACTTCAGTGAAAATAATCTGTGAGATTGTGGACCTGTTCTTCTTGCAAAGAGAAAGGGAAAACGGTCACAGTGTATGACATCATGACCACTTTAATTTACCAGGTGTTCAAATAATTGCAAATAATAATGTCAAACATTTTTGCCAAATCAATATAGAAATGGAAAAAAAGACATTTCAGATCTCAGAAACGTCTTTCTGTGTCCTAAAACTTTGCAAAATGTAACAGAAGACACTAAATGTTGTTCATCTCAGAAGAGGGAGTTATACAAAGTATTGAAAGCGTGAGTAGCAATAATTATTTCTAGTGATTTTGTAAATTAAATGTTTCTTCTGCATGGGATTAAACTGTTGAAATAAATGATCATTTATCTTAAGGCATCTTAAAGAGGGGTACATGGAAATGTAGTTAGCATTGCATGTGAGTTTGACCTGCAGTCACCTGAGTCCATATCCGTGAAGTTTCGGGGCACAAAGCAATAATATGTTTGGGTTTTTTTCCCCCTCACAAAAATCTCCCCCGTGTTTCAGCTCATTAACGCGTTCATACATTTCATCTGTTCACTCCGCGTTGCATCTTTATAGGCCTTACTTCACAGCCATAGCACCTTTGTTCCCCCTGCATAAAACAGCGGGACGTCAACAATCGCTTTATGTTATTGTATAGACCGTGAGTCACAGCGTGTCAAACACCTTTATTTCAACATCCATGTCCTCCAACAAACAGAGCTCACCTGTTTAAAGAGGTGATTCACTCAAATTATGCTCTCCAGAGAGAGACTGTGTTTGCTGTAAACACTGAAAACGGTTTTTATGTGGGGTTTCCCTGGCGTGCTCATGAGTTGTGATCGTGTACAAAGGTTGTTCTATGCTTCCAAGCATGACATGATGCGATTTCCGCTCCGAACTTCTTTTGTTTTTAATTTTCTTCACGTGTTTCTGGTGTTTCGCTTTCATCTGCTAATCTGAACTGTCAGTGAGTCAACAGACAACTCCCTCAGATGCACACAAATGCCTTGTTTGCCACACCAGCCGAACAAATACCTGCGCTGATGCAAGAAGACAAGACAGAAACAAGAGAAACAAAAACAGAAGAAGCATCGAGAAACAAAGGAAAGCACCTCGCGGAAGCAACCCCCCCCCCTCCTTGTTGCACACCTTTGTGGGCAGCCTTTCTTATAGCCCACCTTAGAAAAACATCCGTGCCCCCACACGACGCTGAGCCTTGTGTTTCCTTCTGTCTTTAATCTTTTTGCGAAAAGAGCTTTTAACAAGGCCAGGGAGGATGAGTGGATCTGCCAAAGCAGAACAAAGGCAGGGAGGAACTTTGAGGGATAGCAGCAGAAAGGGAGGCTCTGTAATTTATCACCTGTTGCCCTCAGGCTGCCCGGCACTCAAAGCTCTGGGCTCTTTTTTTTCTGTTTGTGTGTCTGTGTGTATGAAAGCAGGCATGAAGAGGAGATGAATGGATACAGAAGGGGGGTAAAAAAAGGACACAGTTATAACAAAAAAAAGTATTCGGCCAAGGACACCACAGTTCTGCATGCACAGGAGGATCCTGGTGCATTTATGTACTTGTTTTGGGGCCAACAAAGGGAAATTAGGTCAAGTAGAGCAAACAGAAAAACAGTTTCCGGAAGAGGCTAATATAAATACATTATAAAAATGACACAAAATGCTTTTTAAGAGTAAAATTTTCTTGTGCCATTATACAAAGAGGTCTGGACTGTTGGCACATTTATCAAACTAGGTTAATCTACATTTTGCTGCCTCAAGAAAACGCTCGATGTTTCATTATGTTTTTCTGCCACCCAGTGGCTTAGATATGCACTCACAGAAGTGTGTGACTAAACATTTGTGCTTAGACACGTATTTCACAGTATAGTGTTTTGTGGTATTTTTTCATAAAAGTACTGAGAAATACCAGTCAGGCAAGCAAGGGAACCAACCAACTCCAAAACAAAACAAAACAAGTTTGCGTTTCACTTTCACATGCTGCATTTAAACTTGTGTCTATTGTTGCATGTTTGGCCTTTTAGTTTATTATTTTACTTTTTATTCAAGATTGCTCAGGGAGCATGGAGTGTCTGGAAGGCTGGTTCTATAATAATCAAAACAACAGCAATGTGGGCTTCTGTGTTTGTGTTTGCACAAATAAGCCATATCATTAGCAGAATATCAAAAAAGAGAGTATGTTCTTTGATGGTGCTTTATAATATTGCATTCCAGTTATAGTCTTTCACACATGGCACTGTTCAAACTCTATTTTTGAACGTGTTCCTTTTGAGTGTCAGTTTCAGTTAGGAAATTGCAAAGAGATTTGCTTAATGTTGGATTATGTTGTAAATTAACTTGTAAGATATCACAACCCATTCGTTTCCCCAGTTAAATACGTTTTTAACGACAATGGGAAAAAATCTGGAAAAGAAAGTGACAGTCATCCAATGTTGCATTTGATGGGTCCGTTCTCATTTCTAATTCAAGCTTGTTTTAAGTGCACTGAAAACTTTTAACAAGAAATTATTTTAACATCTATTTTTTATGCGTCTCATCTGAATGCGTTTTAGTTCGCCCAACAGACGGGACGCCGAGAGGATAAATTAAACTAATGAAACTTTGCTTTTTAACAAAGCTCGTGAAACTCTGCTCCGACATTTCCGCGGGAATGTGAACGCCGCGCAACGAGGAACGCCGATGACGTAAACACGCAAAATGCAGGCGTTTGGTTGTGGTCAGAACAGAGGAAGCCAAGAAGGGGATCAAGGAAACCTCTAGCATCGCAGACAAACACCCCAGAAGACGAGTGAACCCAGCGGTCCCACGGCTGTGACTGTACCAAAAAGAACCGCAAACGGGTCCTTGACACAGCGAGGGTCAAGATGTCTGAGACATACGGTAGGTTTGTGGAGGGTCGGCGTGTAAATGTAGTAGTTAAACGTTCACGGCTCTGTCCTGTAGTTCTATGTGACAGGTTGACTCTTAGCAACGCCGCTAGCTAGCTTGGCGTAAATATAGCCGGTGAGACGCTTCGTTGCGCTTATAATAAGCATGTTAAACTTATAGCTACCATTTAACTGAATTACTTTGAGACCTCTGCGTCTGTTAGCTAACAGCCTTGTCCGGCAATGGAGGATTATGTCGCTCCGTTAAGCTGCCGGCGTAACGCGAGCAAAACAGATGGAGGGGAGACGTTGTGAGTGAAAGTTGACCAAACTTCTGACGAAATGCAACAGCTCTGTTCGTCGGGCCACAACCACGGCTCTTGCGTGAAACCCGGTAATCTAGTTGATTGGGTTTCAAGCCAGGGGGATCCGTATTGGCTGCAGTAACCTCGCCGCTATTTTATTATTTATTTATTTTTTTGAGTGTTTTAACGAGAAGAAGCCTTTTAGTCCGAGGCCGAGAAAGCGGAAGCTGCGCGGAGCTGCGATCACCTGCAGTTCTGCAGCAGCTGAATGTGTCGCGCATCAGTTCCCCCATCCTGAATCAAAGCAAAGTTCTCCTTTTCATAAAGCGGAGGATGCGTTAAAAAAAACAAACAAAAAAAAACACCCGGCCGCTGCGGTTTCGGTTTCTTCACTCGTGCTAATGTTTGTCAGTCTTCTGTCTGATGCAGGCTCCGAAAGCACACCGATCCTCTCGCATCACAAATGTTTTGAAACGCCACACCATCATCAGCCTCTCCTGTTGCACTCCCAGTCACACTCTCGTCGTCTGTGTCGACTTGAATTCCCCTCGCCGCCTCACTTCTTGCATGAAACTTTATCCATGTACATATGAGGAAAAGTGCCAGCACTAATGGTAGCTATAACAGCCCGCCCATCGATTTCTGCCTCAGTCTCCCTACACTGTCATCACTGAAGGCTCGGTTCTGCAAATGGCGAAAGCCTCGTGAAGCAGTGGCTGCATGTTAGTTGGTTGCAGCGGGAATGTATTTGACATTGAATTCATGTTTGCATGCGATTGCAATGTTGTTGTTTGTGGGACGTGTTTAAAATTACAGAATGAGGGAATTACATGGTGAAGTCTGGCTTCCTACGGTCTTTTAAGTTTTGAAGCTGGTGTTGCAAATCTTGAGGAGATTGGCAAAAAAAATAAAAATAAAACATCCATCCATCCACTTGTCCATCTGTCCTGCTCATTCATTCACTCAACATTTGTTTAATGATGTATTCTCTCATGCATGCCGTTTGTCCATTCATCCGTCTGACCCACCATCCATTCATGTATTTGTCCTTTGTGCCGAGAGGTGGGCGATGTGGACTTAAAGTTTTATCACCGTACTATTGTGATAACAATAAAAATGACTGTAGGAACTATTTATATCTTGTATTTTAGGTAACTTTATGGCTCTGACTGCATGACAGAGCAGTCATATTCCCACAAACACAGATGCTGCTTTTGGAACCACATCCATTTGTAACTTTCATGGTCACTTTGACAACTTGATGGCTGTGTGCGGTTCTTATGAGTCAAGATATAAGGTCTGATGTCTGAAAAGCTGTGGCGAGTTTTCAGAACGGAAATGTTGCCCTTTGAGTCAGTTTTTATCTTATGGAAACGGTGCGTTTTGCAGCAAAACACTTCAATGCATTCACTACTACTAATCAGGTGGAATAAATCTGACCTCTAGCTCAACAATGATGCACCATAAACTGAGTTGGTGAAGGTGGCAACAAAACTGCACAATTAATAAAAATCACAGAAAGGCGAGCAGCTCACAGGAGCTGCGTAGCCAAAGTGGTCTGGCCTTGATCCTGACAAGAAGAAGAGCTACAATTAAATGGTTTAATTCGGAGCGTTTTCAGGTGTTCGTATGGCCCAGTCAAAGTCCAGGCCCAAAGCCAACTGAAAACTTGTGGTAAGATTTGAAAAAGACTGTTGACTGACACACTTTATCCAAGCAAATGAGTCTGAAATATTTTACAAAGACAATGAGAGAAAATTTCAGGGCTAAGCAGTATTAGGAGAAATGCTATTATTGAATATTCCAAGGACAATTTTGTTTACAGTAATTTTTTCTTTTTCATTAATACAATTTTAGTGACCATAGCCATCTCTGCCACTAAAACATAAGTGGGTATCTATGACGATTAGACTATCCAACTGGCTATATGTGTAATTGCTATGCTAGTTTTGAATTCTTGACTGTTTATACAAAATCATATACTATCCAAGTAGTCCTTTCAGATTGTATTATTGCTAACTTTGATGTGGCACTTAGAGTTAAATTGAAACCTGACAGACCTTCAGTGAAAGGTGGTTCAACAAAATATTGACTCATCAGTTCAGGTTTTAATCAGCTAAACATTTTAGAAACCATTTATTATTTTTTCCTTTTGCGTCATAGATGGCAATTCCTCCTATCGATATCTTCAAAGTTTTTTGTCTACGTCCAAGTTTTTTCACCTTCAGACATGAAAATGTTGCTTCCCTAAAACCATTATTAGCCTCCAATCTGTACAGCCTGAATGATTACGTGCAAGGTTTTCTGATTAGTGGGGCGATTGGAGTTTGGCGGAGGCTGTGAAAGCAATGGCTTTAGCAGGAGTGGGAGTTTATCCGAGGCTCATCTCTGGTGCAAAGAGCGACAGCCGATCTGCTGCGAAACGTCGATGGTGATGATTCACGTTGAGCTCTACCTCCTCTCATCTTTTTTTTTGCAGACTTCCTGTTCAAGTTCCTAGTGATCGGCAGTGCCGGTGCGGGGAAATCCTGCCTCCTCCACCAGTTCATCGAGAACAAGTGTAAGTCTCAGCTAAAAGAGGTCAGCCGTCGTCCTTCTGAGAGGAAAAAAAACAGATTCATTGACTCGCTGGTGCGCAGAATGAAACCTCTACAATAAAGTGTGTGCCGGTCCTGTTTTCTGACATTTTAGTGCAGGGTATTGGCAACTATACTGTACATATTGTACTCCGCAGCTGAATGGCTTTAACGGCCTTTTACAGTTTTCTACTTTTTCATTTTAGAGTATTTGATAAAAATTACACTTTTTGTCATTTCTGAGGTTCAGCAGTGTCCTGGGTGAGTTTGAATCTGAAAGCTGTTTTGACAGAACAGAACATTACAGCTTCATAATTGTCAACATTGTTCAAGTGTATATAATAAACTTGTCATTCAGAGTGGAAGGAATATTTTGTAAAACAGTATTTAAACTGTTTGGACTTTAAAACTGTCAAGATAATGTAAGCAAGACGTATAAAACTTTATATTCTAAATGTTTCACGTTTTCACATGAATCTCTCGTTTAGTGAATGTTTGGTTTCAGTTTTTCTGGTGAGATCAGGAGAGACGCAGCAGTCTGAACGAGTATTGTCCCTCTCAAAGATTTCAGATTTTTGTCACACTTTTGGCAAAGTTCCAACACAATAACGGCATTTGACATCAGGGTTTAAATGGTGGGAACACGTCCAAAGCTGTGTCCGTCTTTACTGCTGTGTAAAGTACATAAATATGACATTTCTTTGTTTTTAAACTATCCTGTCACTCCTTTGCAGTCAAACAGGATTCCAACCACACCATCGGCGTGGAGTTTGGTTCCAGGGTGGTCAATGTCGGCGGGAAGACGGTCAAACTGCAGATCTGGGACACTGCCGGACAGGAGCGATTCCGGTAAAGTCTCGTCATTTTTCCTGCCGAGGTCTGTGAGCGAGGGATTTTTCCCGAGCCCACATGCAGAGCGACAGTTAGACTCGTCATAATAGCAGATTTTGCTGGACGATATATCGTCCCTGAAGTTACTGTGATAAACAATAATATTGTCATTTTTGAGACCATTTTCAAATGGCATTACAATAGTAATGGCATATTAATGTAAACACAAAGTGTTTCATTTCCAAAGAATATTTAGGATGTTTGACGTTTAAAAAACCAAAGTAAATAAGCAGAAATAGCTCACAAAGGATCTGTAATCAAAATTTTGTTTCAAAAAGTATTTATCTGTCAATGTAGACAGGGAACAGTGTCAGGTAGGACATTTGTAAAAAACAAAAACAAAACAAAAAACAGAAGAAGAAGAATTAAAAAGTGCAAACAAACCACATCGTTCTGGATGTCAAATGTTTGCAGCATTTTTCAAAATGTCGGTTCTTCAATGGTATTAAAATGGACCATGTCTTTGACAATTGTTCAAATGGGAGTTATTAAGCTCATTTTAATTCGTCATGCGTCTAATTGAACTGTTGGTTATTGTGACAGTTCGTTTGCTCTCTGAAATTGTTTCAGAGAGCAGTATTTGCATGAAGAGAGAGCGTTTTTGTCTGACATTGTGTCTTTTCACAGTTCTGTGACACGTAGCTACTACAGAGGAGCAGCTGGAGCCCTCTTGGTGTATGACATCACCAGGTAATCACTGCACTCATTGACCTCACTTTCTGTTTTGTTTTTTTATGTCCTCTTATACTTAAAATGATCTGTGTCTTTAAAAAAAAAAAAAAAAAAGAGAGATAAGGAAACATAAAAAAACAACTCCGTGATGGTAGCCACCCAAAACCAAATCATTTTGATCGGTTGCAGTTGCATCTGGCTGGACTCAAAATTGAAATGTACCGATGTGTGAAGCTCAACTGCAAATAGTTTTCTTCTTTACTCACTTTAGATTGATCTTCTCTCTGTCTGTTTTTTTTTTTTTTTGTCAAATATGAGTTACATCTAACTATTATAGCGTCCCCATAGTCCAATGACTAAGAAGATACAGTGAGACATGAAGATAAAGAGTAAAGTTTTGTGAAACTGAGGGAAGGGAACGAGGCAGAGAAGGAATGTGATCCAGTTTGGAGTTTCTGTAACCAAAGTGAGGTCTCATCCGTGGGCGGCAGGGAAGCTGTCGGCGTTCTCGGATTAAGGGAAGGAGAAAGATCATGGGAAGCAGATTGAGGTCGAGTCGCCTCATTTCATCACCGTGCGGACAAGGAGTTACATCAGCCTGTGCTTGTCAGTGAAAACAGCTGTTAAACATTAATGCACAGGCCTACACCCTGTTTTACCTCACTGACCTCATGTTTCCACGGACACCAAGGCACGCAACAGGCTGTTGTTGAGCAATATTATGTTTATCTCGTACCACGACATATGTATGTGGTAATTACCGACACGTCAACATGGGAAAAAGCTTAGACGGGCCGCCATATCTTAAAGGTTTGCAGCTGGGCCACTCTAAGATCTTGTTTTATAACCTATAAGCTTCTCCACAACATTCCCTCTGTCCTACCTGCTTTGCTTGTTGGTCTTCATGATGCTGATTCCTCCCACTCATAGTCATTGTCTGGTTAAAAACGATAAAATGCAAGTTTGTACTTTCAATCGAACGAAATGTGGAAAATACCCTTTGTTCGTTTCATGTTCCACCCTGAAACTACATCCGACTTGTTGTGTTACAGCCGTGAAACTTACAATGCGCTGACCAACTGGCTGACGGACGCACGGACACTAGCGAGCCCCAACATCGTCATCATCCTGTGCGGAAATAAGAAAGACCTGGACACGGAGAGAGAAGTGACGTTTCTGGAAGCCTCGCGGTTTGCTCAGGAGAATGGTAACTAGGGTTGGGGTTTATCTCGCAAACATTTCGCGGTTGCATTCTTCTCATGAAATTCTACTCGCACGTTTTTGCCTCGTACACAGAACTAATGTTTCTGGAGACGAGCGCTCTGACGGGCGAAAACGTCGAGGAGGGATTCCTGAAATGTGCTCGCACTATCCTCAACAAGATCGATTCAGGTACGCTTTAAATTGGTTTGCTAAAGACGGGGACCTCTGCCAGAGTTTGGATATATTTAATACATGTTTTTATGATGACATTTTCTTTCCTTTTGGTTCCTTTTTAAAGGGGAGTTGGACCCTGAGAGGATGGGCTCAGGGATCCAATATGGAGACGCCTCACTGAGGCAGCTGCGGCAGCCGAGAGGCACGACAACGCAAAACAAGCAGCAGTGTAACTGCTAGGGGTCGGACCCCGTCCTTACTTGAACCCGCTGGCCCATACGGAGAGACCGTCCCCTGCAGGTAGGTCATCAACCGAGGCCGGACCACCTCCCTGTCCAACACCCTGAAACTGATGAGACGACGTCTGTTTCTTCTGCAGCTCATCTCCAGGTGTTTTTGGGTGTGTACGACTGCTGTCTCATGCACTTTAGACCACCTGGATCAATGTTGGTAGGTTGGCCTCCGACCTCTGGTAAGACTCCTTACCTGAGTGGTTCAGGTTTTCATCCCGCATCTGGACAGCTTAACCCCCCTCCCTCTCAGTGCAAAGACGGTGCGATCACGAAGAAGGCACGCCATCATCAGATGCCAGAGGAGGACAAGTCCAGGGTTGTTTGTTTTGAGCTTCTCTCCTGTCGTTTTACGTCTTCGCTTTACCACGCTGGTTTTAAGCAACCCTAAGATGTTTTCCTGCATTTGCACTTCATTGGCTGTAAATGATTGTGAAGCTCCTTCGAGCATTTTCATCACTCGGCCTTCGGCTGATTAGTTAATCGAAGCAAATCGTAACCGATGGTGACTCTGTGATAAACGGTCTACATGTGTACTCTTAAGAGGTCATCTTCCTCCATAGTTTGGCTTAAAGATGTCGTATTCAGGTTTCTATCAGACGTAACGTCTGTGGTTTGTCATCTTATGATATTTCTCATCTGATCAGAGAATTGAAGAGTCGTGGGGCTCAGGTGGCGCTCAGTCAGACCCAGAGTGTTCCATCATTGAGTGTTGCAGTGGAGAATGCTTGGTTTTTTGTATTGCAAATGCACTGTAGTGATGCAGAGCGATGGCGTTTAGGTTATGCTCCATGCTTTACATGCACAGTATTGAGCAGAGTTTTGCATCCTTTCATCCACCACATTGATCCCGTTCTTTCCTTCTTCTTTTTTTGTCTGGAGTGAATATATATTATACAGTTGCAATGAGTTTTAGAAGCAAGAATTGGGAGCACCAATTTTTTTATTTTTTTTGTAGTCAACACAGTGTCAAAATGACATATAAACCCTCAAATATAGACATAGAGTAATATTTGCATCAATTTCTCTTTGCTAGCTGTGGAGAAACTACACGTTTAGTCGCCATAAAGACAATAATTCTGCCTGGACGTTTTTGCCAGTCTTAAAGTAGTTTTGGGACGGCTCACACCTTTGAGCAGAGTTGTCACATTTTCATTAGGGTTCAGATCAGAGCCGTCGCAGATTCCAGTAGCTTGATGTCAGCCCGCTTTAGCAGCTCCAGAACCAGTTTTTATCTGTCAAACACTCAATTGTGTCCAAGTTTCAACCTATTGTCGATCTGAGACAAAGCTGAAGAATTTGTAGCTAGTCAGCCATCGTCTTTATTGTACCCATTTTATGCAGCACCAGGATAAACGGCAATGAAACAAACATCAGCATGATGCTGCCACCACCGTGCTTGATAGCATGTTCTGTGTTTTTAGGTTTTCAAGCCTCAGCATCTCTCCTCTAAACATGCTCCTCCTGCACAGTGAAATCTTTGACTCTTCTCTCCTTGTGTTCACATTTCTGTCAAGGTTAAAGGTCGTGACACTGGAGCAAGTGTTTGTTTCTTTGACACTGGTGTCCCAGCATCTCTCTGAGCCTTTCAAGTTCCTGGGTTATTCTTGACCAGACTAACAAATTTCCTTTCATTGAAGCTGATATTTTGGTTGAACCTATTAAAAATGTATTCAACAAGCTGCTGGCCCAACATCCATTCAGAATTACTGGAGAAGTTTCTTAATGGCTAAAAAAAAAGTGTGGTTCCTCAATACATTAATACATATATATATATATATATATGCACACATGTATTTACAATTTTACATCTTCACATGTCGAAGCCATTCAAACTGTATGTTCTATAATAATTTTATACTCCAAAGAACACTTAAAACAACAAATTTCAGCCCAAATTAAATATCTTACCTAAGCTGTGTTTTACGCCGACGTTTCACTCTCCTCCACGTCAAAGTGCAACAAAGGAAATGTGATTTCCAAAGTTTCCGACATGTAAATATTGAGCGATATTAAAAACTGAAGGCAGTAAGACCTCTCTGATGTCTAGTCCTAATTTACTGACAGATTAGGAGTCATTTGTCTTTTTTTTTACGTGGGGAAGTGATGATTCAGAAATCTGTTTGCAGCCTCACAAGTAACTACTTAAGCACACAAACTATAAAGACGTATTGGGGTCATTTGGAGCAAAACGATGGTAGATTATTTCTTTTGTGTATTTTTCTGATTTTCCATTTGAGAGTAAAGTTGAAACGTCGAGAATAAAGTCAAAGGGGTTGGTAGAAGTGTCAAGTTTGATTTGAAAGTAGTCAAAATATTGAAGAAAAAAACAAAACATTTTGGTAAGATTGGAATGTCAGAGTTGGAATGTGGAAACATTTTTCAAGAAAATGTGACATGTTGAGAAAAGATCTTTTATCTTTTCAAATTGTGGGAAAAAGTAAAACATTTTCATAAAGAGAATGTCAAAAGAAAATTGGAACTATCAAAAATTGAGGTGAAATGGGTTTTTTTGGGGGGAGGAGGGAGAATTTTCAAAGAATAAATCAGGAAAATCCTGAGACTGTAATTGTTAAACCAAACAAAGACCCACAACAGTTGTGAAAAAGAGCTGCTTTAATGCAACACCGCAGTTCAGGAGCGGTCCGTTATCCTTTCCACTCTGAATTTTTCAAAAATGAAATCGGATTTTGACCCTTTTTGAAAGCTTCAAACGTCTTCTTGATACTATGACTCAATATTTCAACTTTAAAGAAAAAAAAATTTTGTTCTAGTTTGTTTTAGTGAGCCAACTCAGGTTATCAATTACTTTAGGAGGGCGGGGGGGAATGGACCACCGGGGCAGACATTCTGGTGATGCTGGGGTGAATCGGGTTCCACTTCAGCACCTTTCCAAACCCCTCCCCTCCCACCTTTCTGCTAAAGAGACAGGCACTGCTTGTGCAAATCGCCCTGAATTATGAGGTTTTGTCCCTCCAGGCTCACAGTGGATGTTTTAACCCGAGTGATGGGGAAACTGGGGAGGACTTTCTGGGTTTTCAGGGTATCGGGAGCAGTGAGAATGTGTTGCTTTTGCATTGTGCGAGTCATTTCTGAAAGTGCACTTTTACTTTTACAATTTTGTTTTCTGAATATGCTGTACCTATAGAAATGTAAATGTTATTTTACTTGAAAAAAATATACTTTAATAAAGATTTTAATGTAGATGTTATCAGCTCTTATTGATGAATTGCAACTGGGGTTCCTGGTTTTGGCCTCCTTGTGTCTGCCGTCACCCATGCTGTGGTGGACCGAAATGGTCGCGTTCGCTTTGTGAGAAAGCAGCTGATTTGTTCTGTTTTATACGCATTTATGATTTGAAATGTTTCAGTTCTGCTGACTCGCAGTGAGAGCGCATTAATATGTGTGTACAGGTGTAAACGGCAGTCATCAGAACCTCAGTCACTTGTCTGGACTTCAGCACTCGGGAAACACAATCCTGACTCAGTTGTTTTGTAAATGATGTGATATATATATACGGTTATATATATATATCAGCCCAGATATTACTGTACATTTTAATTATAACCTATGATGTAAATACGAATTGTCAATTGTCTTATTGAGGGTGAGTATTGCTCATTGTTTTAATTATGCAATTCCCAGTAAACTGCTTGTTTTTCATTGAAACAGTTCTCTGTGTTCTTCTTCTTTGGTAACACCAAAGGAGTCATTGAGTGCAAACCGATCCCAATTTTTGCACGTTGACTGATTGATCACCTGCTGTGAAGATGACTTCATAACCGAACAGTGGGGTTTACTGCATGTGAGGTTTGGCCACCAGATGGCGCTAAATGTCCATTTTCCCCTGACTGTCAGGAGAAAATGAGGCTTCTTATTTTTTGCCCTCATTTCTGCCTTGCCAAAATATTACTAGTTTTAAAATCAGTAAGTTTAAGAGGTTTCAGTAGTTTAAGTCGTGCCAAATATTAGGTATAAGATGCACAAAGTAGAGCCTTTACCTTAGTCTTGGGTCATTTGTATCTTAGTTTTTCTTCCAGGTTTGCCCTCCCTTTATTCAGCCGTCAATTTTGACCAGTTTTATTCCTTTCCAGGAAGACGCCGCCGCCACGTTTCATGGTGGTGATGTGCAAATTTAGTTTTCCACGCCACTCAGCATTTTGCATATCAGGCTCATCTGACCAGAGCGCCGTCAAGTTCCTCTGGATTTCTTTTTGCCACTCTTCCATAAAAACAGGAAGCATGACTCACTGCGCTGCCCAAGCGAACCTAAGCTGTTGATCTCAGCAGCTCCTCCAGAGGTACAGCGGTCTGATTAATGCTCTTCCTGTTAGACCTGTCGGCTTAGGCGGACAGTCAGTCTTTGAACAAAACTTTTTATGATGACTTTTATAGCACATTTCAGCAACAAGGCAAGTCAAGCCGGTAGTTTTTACACTGAAGTTTTGCTCCATTTTCACTCTGCACTTCGACAACGGCCTCCTTCCCTTCTCACTAGTCGAGCACTTATTCGCTCAGATTTCTTCCTACCAGACTACACTTTCCCTTTTATGGGAGCGATGGAATCGGTGATGCTTGATATTTTAGAAAGCTATCTACCAACTCATCTACCGGGTTACCTGCTGAAAGGAAAATGGGAAAGTAAACTTGCAAGGTTTCAACTGTGCTGCCCTTAAAAAACAAAGCAAACAGGTTTATAACCCGACACTGCTTTAAACTTTCCCTCAACTGTATACCTGGTCTGTTTTTGTGATGCTGTTTGTACATTGATTTTCTTTGAAGAACCCCTGAGCCCTTTTAAATACAAATACAGATGTTCTCTGATTAAATTACACTCAGATGGGCTATTTACAACCTAAGAGACTTGTCTTGGTAAACTGGGATGAATACAAATGTGCCTAACACGTTTTACATTTTTATTTGTAACATTTTTTTTAAATCAACACTGCCTCATGTCTAAAATCCCTTTAAAAATCACTTTAATTGTGATAGTGTAAAAAAGTTGCAGGTTAATGGATACCGCCGTGGCAGTCCCATCATTGACATCATAAGTCACACTAATAAAATAGTTTGTTCAATTTTTTTTTGTTTATTTACACAAAACTGGGACACAGGTGTTGAACTGGAGACATCATATAAGGTTCACAAGAAAGGAAGTGGCAGATTGTTCACTGATGTTCGATCGATGATAAAACGTTGGTCAACATGTGAAATCAACTGTGACACTGGATATGGTTAAAATTAGAATGACATTTTCAATTTCACAGGCGTTTAACTCCAGCAGAGACATGTATAAAAGCAGATCGTTGTGACTTCACAAGGGAGTTTAAAATGCAATTTCGCTTTATGGAGAGCCAAAGGAATGTGCGACTCTCTAGGACTTCATTTCATAATACTCAACGACAAGATGCACTGTATTTACACACACCGTACTGAGCAAACATCACATTACTGCCTTATGGAAAAGTACGCTGAATGTCTAAGTTTCGTCTCCATTTTAAGTGTTTCGAGAGGGACCCAACAAGCACCATTTGTTGAAATGAAAAAAATCAAACATAAATCCATCATGTCATCCGCCAGCCTGAAGGATGCCTGACACGGCACAGGTTAGCATAACATTGGAACTGTACTTCATTCGAGTAGGATGAACTCGCTGCGATGAGTTAATCGCTCTAAAATGAATTTCCACTTGTCTGCTTGCAGTGAGAGTTGATTAAAAAATGCAAATGGCCCTTGAAGAATACTGTGACGCTCCCGAGGCGATTGCTTTTTGACTGCAAGGCTTTCATTACCATCTGTGGTCCACTTTTCTTTTTTTTTTTTTTTTTTTCGGTGCTTGTTAGTCAAAAGTAGTGCCATTAGATGAGTGTACAGGTTAAAGAGCAACAAAAGGGGACAGGGGCTAACAGTTTTACACTGATTTCAACAGTGCACAGAGATAAATGAGTCGATTTACTTGTTAATACACAGAATAACTAGTTTCTGCACCCGCTGGCTGAGAGAGAACACAAACATGACTGGACCTTAGTGAGGATCTCAAACAGTAACAAATTCAAGTGTTTTTCTGTTCACCTACTGACAATAAATGTTCCACGTGTACAGAATATTGCAAAGGCTAATTTTTCAACGGCAAGCAGTTTCGTTTGCCTCAGATATCAATATCTAGACAATATTGGCTATGTTCTCTAAACACTGCTTCCTTGCGGTCACTGAAGAAGTGGCAGGACAGAGACGTGGTTGCTTATCAGAGCGATATGAAACACGGAGAAGCGAGGGTTGAATGCCAGGGGCTGCAGATAAGTCGGGGAAAGAGGGATCAACTTCTATTCTAGCGACTGAAGCATGAGGAGCTGCTTGAGGACCTTGGTCTGACTGGTCTCCCTGATCTCTCCTGCCAGGAACATCTCGTCCACCACGGTGTACACCTTGAAACGCACACAGGAAGTAGACAAAAACGCACACGGAGCTGTCATCTGTGCTGCATTTGGGTTCGAAAACGATCACAATGTCTCGACGTGAAAAACAATCTCACCTTGTAAAAGTTGAACACAAGGTCCAGTTCGCACACATTGTGAAAATATTCATTCAGCACCTTTAGGGAGAAAAAGAAGAAAAGAAATCGGGAGAAATGAATGTTCTGATTGAAACAAGCTAATTTAATAGCATGTCGAGTACACCGATGACTTCATAAATCTGCAAAAGTGTCAATTCTGTCTTCTACCGGCAGGAAGCAATTTTTCATCAATATTGCTCAGACACCGAACAGTGACAAGAAGCTGCAGCACACTGAAAATATCAGCCACTTTTCACAAAACTGAACAGTGTGTCAAATGGCTGTGGAGCTACAGTACATCATGTCAATATGACAAAAAAAACAGAATCATCCCAGAGGGATAAAAAAAAAAAACTAAAAAGGAGAGGCGGAAAACACATTTATAACATATTACATTTGCACATTGAAGAGATTTTTATTTCAATCTGTTGTAATAATATGACAGAACTCATTTGGTGTCTCTAACGTCTCATTGCATTTTTTTCAACTGTGCACATCAGATGATGAGTACTGTGTGGAATAATAGGGAAAAAGGGGGAAAAAAGCTCAGTTTTTCTCTCATTTGTCTGCACCAAGGCAGAAATATATAAACTGCCTTCAGAATGAATCAAGAAAGGACAAAAATGAGTATCTTTTTGTCTAGATGTAGCCATATAGAAGAAGACAGGAGGCTCATTTTAAGATCCTGCATTGCTGTGCATTAAATGTCTGTCAAGGTCAAACAGTAAATTAAAAGACCTTCACTCATGAGCAGGCAAGTCAAAAATGCTCAACTGTTTGTCTTAAAAAAAAGAAAAAGAAGAAAAAACTGATTGTACTTTAAGCTTGAAATTTCAGAAGGCATTGACTAAATGATAGAGACATAACTTAAAGACAAATATATTGCAAACATTTTATAAACTACAAATCCGGTTTAAAAATGGTTATAAGTCATTTCTGAGTAGTTTTTACATTGTTTTAAGACTTAATATATAAATTTGAAGAACTGAACTATCATTCATTTCAATTTTGCTCTGATTACGTAGGAGCAATAGCGAACAACTGTGTTCACATAACTCAGAGAAAACAAATCCCATGTGCTACTAGAGCTGGGTTGCAGCAAATTTTACCCTCAGAACTGCCTTAATTCTTTATGGCAAAGAGTCAACAAGTGCTTCTCAGAAATATTGGTCCATACAAACATGAAAGCATCAAGCAGTAACAGTAACTATTTTGATGTCCTTACAGTGAGATAATACTTCAACTGACTGGAGAAATAATAAAGTTTGACATTTAGATGCAGCAAGTAAATAAACCAGAAAACATTCTTTAGAAAAAAAAAAACAACAATAAAAAGAAACGAGAAACCCCTCTGGAGGCATTGCTGGAAACCAGTAGACCACAACAACTAAATCATCACAGTTCACATGCCCTGTCTGCAGCGTGTGTGTTTCAGTTACTTACCTCCACAAAGTTGTGGATGGCTTCGAGGTATGCCAGGTTATTGTCGGTCACGTCCACACAGATGCAGAAGTAGAGGCCAGCGTAGCGCCGGTAAATGATCTTGAAGTTCCTGAACTGTGGGAGTAAAACAAAGAAATACTCATAATAGCTCAGCGTCTCGTTTCATAACATCAGCACTTTCACCACAGCTTTGCCATAAGAAAAAGTTGCATAAACGTAAAAAAAATCCACAGGATGATGTTTATATCTGACGGCTTGAAGCATCAGATGCATCAACCTTGATTTGAAGGTTGGACAATTCAAGGTTGTACAGAAACTCAGGTTCCTTTGAGTTCAATGAGTCATTTTTATACAAAGGAAAATGACTTGAGTGAATGAACATGAGTGAATTACGACTAATTTTAGCCTCTCCTCTCCTAAAAAATGCCAATGCCCTGTACAATAAGCTACAGGTAAACGATTGGCTTGATATGATAATGGTTAATGTAGGACTCCTGCAAACATAAAAGCTTATACGGAAATATTTCACATTCTAAGGTGTTTACATTTAAAGCGTTTTCTGCATCAAAACACACACAAAAAAAAGCTTT